AACACAATTTTAATTAATACAGTATTTGTTCACAAACACAATATTATTTGCATAATACTTGTATATAAAAGTAAAAATTTAATTAATATTAATATACAGTACTAATACAGTATTAGTGATACTGAATGAGCCAGGGAAGTGAGATATTTATTATACAGTATAATAGATTTGATTATAATTGTTGTATAACATAATCAAAACATGTATTGATTGATTTTTTATAGCTATCGTCAAATGTTATTATAAATTCTAATTAATTCTTACAAAAAACTATTGAATAATTTATATTAATGTTTAAATCTATATTATTAAAAAGAGCACAATATTTATATCGTTATAAATGTAACTAACGAACCAATTAGTCAATGGTTTTAATCCTATATTTTTGAAATCTACAATTCATTAGACTCTAATGATTAGAAACATACAAAAGTATAGAAAACAATAATATATTTTGACTCTATTTGGATTTTAACATTAAAAATAATAAATAAAGAATTTAAAGTTATTTATTTTGTCACTCAATACATTTAATAAGCAAACGATTCGTGGATATATTTAGCATTTATTACAAATACAATACACTAGTCACTAGTTAAGTGTTTTGCAACTTTGATCATGTATTATAAAAGCAGATTATAATACAATAGCAAGTTCGGTGCATACATTTAGTTATATTATACAGTGTAAAACTTGCAATGTCAATTGATAATAACTTACTCGTTTGCAAAACGCTGCACTTCTGTATATAAAACTACAGCCATGTACTGTACTGTATGTAGTATATAAAAAGCAAGAATTTGTTATTTATAATAATTCTGAACATTGAATAAATTAATAAAAGTGATTCATTGCTAACTTATAATAAACAAAAATTGTCATGTTAATATTTATTTGCTTCTTAACATTTATGTAATTTTTACAACTACAGTAAATACCGATATTCATACATAGGTAAGTCTTCCTAATGAATACAGGAATTTTACTGGAAAACATACACTTTTAAATATAAATTATATAATATTTTATATATCAATAAATACATGTACCGTATATGCTGTACTACTTTGAACGTTTATGAATATTTGATGAATAAACAAGGTCAATGATATTGTATCTTAAAAATAACAGTGACATATGTTATACAGTGCTACATTTACCTAACAGAATAACCCGGAATATAAGTGATGTCTAATGACATAGTGAACTAATGTTGAGAATATAGCAAACATTTCAAAAGTTGTGTCAATTCTGTGAGTCGTCTCACAATATGCCACACATTCACTGGTAATGTGTGTCACGTATTATATGAATGATGCCATCGGTGTATATTTTATCGCAATTATTGCTCTGTTATTAGACAGACTTTAATCAGGGTAAACACACTCTAATCAGGGTTATTGATTGCATATGACATAATCTTAAAATGTGAATTCAATGATTAAATTTAAACAATATCTAAATAATGTAGGAATATGTGTTTCAAATGAACTTCCATGCTACAAAAAAAATATTGCAAAAAAGTGTTATAGCATACTAAACAGTGTAACACACATATCACGAAAATTCAGTACTTTTTATACACAATAATATTGCTTATATTCAACCGGAATACTGTAGATACAATAGTCACAAATATATTTAAGTGAAAACATGTTAAATTGAATGCGAGTTTGCAGTATTGAGTGTGGCTTACGGGTGACAATACAGTAGTGGAGCCCTTATTAATGGCATTAGATTTCTAATGGCATATCATATGTGAGTGAATATATAGAGTGAATGCAAACGCAAACAATTTTTCGCCTAAAACTCAATGCATTGAGAAATCATAATAAAAATAATTATAGTTTTAATATAACTGTAAATCAAATATACATTGCGTTCAACCGATTGAGCCCTTTATAAGTGATGTTTAATTCATAATTGCTTTATAATCAGTGATTATGTTTGAGATATCGGTATAAATATCGTTAATATCACTCTATATCTCAACACATACTCAAAGAAATAGGTTTTTGTTGTCAAATATAGTCTATCAGTGAATGTCATCAATAGACCAAATATTTGCCAACACTTCCACTCAAATGTCACTGAATTGGACACAAACATCATATTTGAGGCCATGATTACCACTGCATCCACATCTCAAGACATACGGATGGTTCCCGTATTAACATAGTGTCGATCGGACTTATTGTGGTTAACAGTGATATCATAGCAATCATCTAAACAATCAGTGAATGTGACCGCAAATCGCGACAACATCTTCAGTGTCCAACTTCTTCAGTGTCCAACAAATAGCAATACCATTGAGTGACCGGAACTCATAGTCTGTATGTGTGGTGACTATTGTTCACCAATCGGTGCATAGGTGTGGTGAGCGGCCAGCCATCAGGTGGTGCTCACGACAGGTGCTCACGAGAGTCTGATCCCAAGAGTGTGTATTGGCGTCGATGGTGATGGAGACGATGGGTTGCGCGCGATTCCTGCGTCACCACAACGGGTCGGTGCGAGGGGTGGCCTACAGTCCCACCGATCGCTACCTCTTCTGTTCCGGCGCTTACGACGGAAACGTATGTCTCTATCACGCCCTCCGCTGCGAACTGATCCGCACCTTCCACGTGACCACAATGGGATTGGCCCGCAATATCAACGCCGTCCGCTTCACCAATGATGGACATCGGGTACGACCACCGAAGCGCACAATACACTCACCAATGGCTGTCCACAGAGACCACGAGTTAGACCTCTAGTTTGGGTGATGTTCTCTCGCGAGTTAGTGGTTTAGTCTATGATCTCATTTGCCTCTTAAGAGGTTAATGATGTCATTAATATTAGTTCTTATGGTCTAAACACAAGTTCTCTCTCATGAGATAATTGAGACCATAATTGAATTATAATTAGGGATCAGTAGAAGAGGTGACTTAAGAAATGCCTATTAATCTAATTGGTCACCAGTTTGTGCCCTCTATAGTGATTGTGCACACAATTAATCAGCCATTGGTACCACTGTTGAGACCAATTGCCAATTGAATAGCGAATGCAATGCTAATGAATGTCTGTATGTATCAGATCCTGGCGGCGACCACCGCTCGCCGGCTATCGGTGCTGGACGTGGAGACGGGCCAACAGCTGATGTGTTACGACAACTGTGCCTTCAGTGGTCGCGAGAGGGCTGCGTTGGCCACTGACCCCATATGTCCGCACTTAGCCGTGTGCTCGTGTGTCAACGGCAAAGGACTCACTCTATTTGATCTCCGAATGCCACTGCCTTTAGATTTTATATTCGATGTAAGCATACCGAACCTCCCGGTGCACCACCGCTACTGTATATGAGTGTCCGTTTAGTTTACTAATGGTGTGCTTTATTCACAAACAGTTACATCCGGACGTGATTCGGGACATAACATTCCTCCACAACAGTTGGCCATTCGTTAAATCACATCAAAGTGCACTTCTGTCCCTTTCCTGTCAGGGCATCGTTAAGGTATACCTCGTTATCGCCATATCTTAGCAATCAAAGGCTATTCACATAATGCATGCCTACCTGTGCTGTACGACACTAATTATAGTAACCCTTTCCTTACCTATTCGTCGAACAATATTTAGTTTGAATTGTAATACAATTGAAATCTGAATGACTGTATGTGTGTGTGGTTTAGGCGACTACACTGGACGGTCGGTTTTTGCACTGCTTCGAAGTGGGCCACCCGTCCAATACAGTGGCGCCCACTCCCGAAGAGTACGGGTCGGCGCTGGACGACGGCTTCTCATCGGTCATGATGGTGGGCGGCGCCTCCATCTCCAGCTATATCCCCGAGTCGGGCATTCAAGAGAGGCAACAGTCCTCGGACTTCAGTTCACAGCAAATCTGGAAATTGCGTTATTCGAGTAACGGTAGCATTTTGTACGCCGCCGGGGATGGAGGGGTGATCAGGCGGTACAGGAGGTATCCTAACTATCATAAGTGTTTGGGTGAACTTTTCAGACATAAGGGCGATGTTCAGGACATGGATATATCGCCTTATGATGAATGTATGTCTTATGAAACTTTACTTATAAATTGATGTCATTTTAATGATAATGTTTTTTGTGGACAGTTTTGGTCACCGCTTCCAAAGACAAAACAGTTGGTCTCATATGTTTGGGTAAATCTATTGATATATCTATTAGATTGTGGATCTGTATTAACACATGTTGTATATGTTTGTGGATGAATAGGTGCTCCAAACCACGGTTGGACACAATATTGTGAGTTATCGTGACATGAATCAGCTTAAGTGGAAACAAAAATTCAACAAATTATTTATAAAATGAAAAGTCTCTATTAGATTTCAAATTACAGTTATATATATACAAAGCAACATTAATTGTAATGATCAATGGCATCAATTTTGTTGATTTTTTAATACAAACTCTACTCTGTCTTCAAATATATCGCAAAAAGTAATAATAAGTGAATATGAATGAGACATATGAGTGAATCAAAGCCACGATGAGAAATATCATATTTATTTACATCACCGATGAATTAATTATTATTTAATCAAATAATTATTATTTTAAATTTTATTTTAATTTTATGAATACATACCGTAATTATGTGTTTTTAAAAGAATTGGTAATTTTAAATATAATTTTAAATATAATTCTTTTAATTTGAAAATTCATTTCTTGAGTGACGAGAATGTGCTGAACAGTGAATGAACTGATTGTATGATTTTATTGACTTCTGTTTGTTGAGTTTGTTATTAATATTTCAAATTAACGTATCACTCATTAAATGCCAATTATGTTACGAGAAGACAAAATATAATTCATATTTTGTAACAATGGCCTCAATATTATGTGACCTCAGCTTTCATTTCAGACGACCCCTTCGCCCGTCCCCTCAAAAAGCACACAATTATCTCCCTTTCATGTGTTAGTTTTGATCATAATGTTAGTTAAAATATATTAAGTTATTATTATATTATTACAGTTATTGCTTGATTAAACATTTTATTAATTCATTTGCTATTCAAGTGAATGTCATATGAGTTTTTAGACAAACAAAACCCCAATTATTATATAAATTTATTTTCACTCTTTAAGTAAATTGTGATCTTTTAGTCTAATTAATTGAATATTTAAGTAAATTAATAACTTATAATGAATAACAAATTATATATATGAATATATATCAAACAAAACAAATGTTTATTTATATGCAATTATAAGACAAAATATATCTCTAATTCTAATGATTTATAATTGAAAATCAATTTTATTTGTATTATTCTATAAGTAATGAAAAAATTACATTATATTACATGAAATGAAAATTTTTATATATAAAACACAATTCATAATAAATAAAATTATAATCATGTGAACAACAAGTTTTAATTATTACATTTTTATTTAAATATTATATGAGTTATAAATTTTTACTGCAATATAGACCATGTTACTGTTAACCTCAAATTATGCGTCTCTTAAGGTAATAGAAAACATTTGAAACCAATGTTTAGGTAAATATTATGCCATTTTATTATTTTAATTATTAGTTTTAACTTATTTCTTAAACTATAATCTCAATCATAAGCGTTAAAAATAAGTATAAACAAAAATTAATTACATTATTATATGGGTTAATGTTGAGCTCCCACTACATCTAAAATGTAATCTCATAAAAGTTAGACAATAATTGTTATGGTAATCATTATTTTCATTTATATGCGGTTAATGTGTCTGTCCGGCCATTCCCATAGAGTACTTCCATATCAACCAATGGTTTGTTCATTAAACAAATGAAACAATATGAGATTCAATACAAAAAGACCCGATTATTATATGTGATTATAAACCAAATGTCCCGGATCAAGTGCTGCATATCTATAGTAAAAATGAAAATGTTTTATAATATTTTAAAATTTTACATTTCATATACAATTTTAGGCAATATTTGAGTAAGAATGTACATTGGTTATAAATGGGTACACTTTGTATGTCCGGTTCAGTCATTGTTGTAGGGATTGGCAGCGATTGTGTCAAACATTACTGTTTTGTGGATTATTTAACTCACGCTTCCTTTGATTACGTTTTCTCATGAAGTAATAGACGACAACCAATATTATGATGAGAATCACTATCAGTAACAGCCATGCCTTTCCCATAATTAAATTTTATGTTAACTCCTTGACAATTGATGTAGAAAAATTGTATGTAAAATAAATTTTTGACAAAATACACAACAAATAGACACAAACTTTTAGCCGTAAAACACGCGAATCAAGTGACCAACAGAATAGTGAAAACAGACATTAAATTTGATGAGTTATTTTTGTATTGTAAGCGCAAATTCGTGTCTAAACTATATTTTTAGGATGAATATGAATATCGACACATAAAAAAGTTAAAAATACTCGTAAATGTCTTTCAGTAAAACCAGTTTTTTGTCGACACGGAGTGAGTGTAGGCGTACTCCACCTGTAAAATAGTTACACCGATTTGTAAAGACTCGGTGCACCGAAACTACTTATACTTGCAATGCTACAGTAGCACTAGTAGATTGCCAGGATATATGACTTTGAAAAACAATGAATTTACTAAAAATTAATCGTTTGTCAACACTTGTGTTGAAACAGAATTATTATGCAGAATACTAACAAGGAATTTACCAGTAATTATAAATAGTTAACCTAATGTTGCATGTTGCACATTGTAAATACATATTTAAATATACAATAGTTATCATTAATTTTTGATTAAGTACCATAATTGCTTACTGTTAATTGACTTTGAAGCAATCCTTTATTCCTTTACTGTATAAATAAGTAAAATGCACTCAAATTTAAAATAGAGTTTTAGTCTAATACCGTATACTCAAACATTTAAAATAATATTATATCAAAATTTAAAATGAGAATAAAAGCTATGATTTATGAAATATAAGTATAATAATAACTGTAATGAATAGGTTGCTTTTAGTCTCATTGTTATGCTCGTATTTTAACAAAACTTGTATTTTCAAAATTGAATATTTGTTAGAAATATTAGATAATACGTTATTATTTAAAAGTTATAATACAAAAGTCCCTGGCCTTATACAACTGTATGTAATATTAGCCTTAGTAGATCTGAACTAATTATGTGAATAAAAAATAACACTAATAGTAGTTTAGACAGAGGTTACGGTAGATATTTTTCAATTTGTATGATAATTTATATTTTATAATATAAATATATCAAAATTTACGTGACTTTAGTTATGTAAATTCATTTCAAAGGGATAAACGATCAAAAAATATTTTTGAAAATATCACTAATTATGGAAAATTTTCTAGAAATACGTCCACACAATTCAAATTCATTATAAAATTTACAAATTTATCAGTGAATTATTTTAAGTAGTTATTTAACACAATTAATATCATTACCAAGTTTACAACGAGAATGTTCTATACAAGTTTTAATGAGACCTACCCGGCTTATAATGAAATATGAACACATTTTTATTAATTAAGTTCTTTTCACAGTCGAGAATATTTTTATTATTTGTGTTTTTGTTACTAGTTATGTATAACATATTGTTTATATATGACCCGTACGCCAAAAAAGTGGACTCTAATGCCTATACATCGGATGAAACCCTAATATTTGTGATAACCCCGACATATACCCGGCCCACACAAATGCCAGACATGACCCGTTTGGCTCAGACTCTAATGCACATCAAGAATATGCTATGGATTGTGGTCGAGGACTCGACAGTCAAGTCATTGGCTTTAGTGGAGCTGTTGGAGCGGTCGGCCATCCCTTTCGTGCACCTATTGGCCGCTCGACCTAAAGAGCACCAAAATGTCTACAAAGACGGCCGCGGAGTGTCCAACCGACTCAAAGCCTTACAGTGGCTGAGAGACACCTACTCAAACACCGACCAAAAGGGAGTCATATATTTCGCGGACGACGACAACACGTATGACATCAGACTTTTCCAAGAGATTCGTCGCACTCAGAAAGTGTCGATATTTCCGGTGGGTTTGATCGCGACGTTGGGTCTGTCGGCGCCTATACTCGACAACACGACGGCCAAAGTGATCGGATGGCACGACCCCTGCAATGGCCGCAAATTCGCGGTCGATATGGCGGGCTTTGCCGTCAGTCTCTCCCTATTTCTCTCGCGTCCCGACGCGACGATGATCTTCAAAGCCGGACTCATTGAAGACTATTTCCTCAGATCATTGAGGATTCAATGGACAGACTTGGAGCCCATGGCCGGCAACTGTACCGTCATTATGGTCTGGCACACGAGGTCCACGTTTAAGGCATTCCCCTTATATAATGCCATTAAGAAAGTTAAGAATTATAACCAAACAAATCTACCCATTCTTTACAAGAATTTGAAAATTAACGTAACTTTAAGTTAGCAAAACTTATTATTCATAAATATTTTTTAAAAGCTCATTTAATATTTTCATAAATTTATATGAGTTTAACTTGTATGTCATGTGACATTTAAACAATTATTTTAATAGTTTATTAAGTTTTAAAAATTTTATAAATATTAAATTTAAGAGCTTATTTATAAAATGTAATAATAAATGTTATATTTTATTGTTTTTAATTGTGACAAACAGTTGTGTTATTTTTTGATATAATTTAATGGAACTTACAAAAATAATTAAATGTTATATTTATTCAAATTATGATTTTCTGTGAATTAAATTGAAAATATTATATTTATTAAAGTGGAGATACTGTACTGTATTATACATTAGTTGTTAGATTCAAAACTGTTTTTCAATGCAAACCTAACCTAATAGTGAAGTGAACTCTTCCAACAGCTTTATGTCAACAAAACAGTGTAAGTCTGGCACAGAATGTCTGCATTTCTAATGTCATTCTCAATGCATTGCTTTATAATCTTAAAGAATATTCTTTATTATTAATATTATCTCTAATTATCTGATTGACCTGGCTCAATCAAAATGACCATTAACCAAATATTCCAAATAAAATTTATAATAAAAAACTGATTTCTTGTATTTATGTAAATATTCTTTAATTGTCATAAATTCTACAAAATATTCTCAAATGCTTTTGTAAGTGATGTTTATTATTATAAATAATTATAATAATGATGTTTATAAATATTTATATTTAATAACTTTGCAAATTAATTATCTTTTTACTGTATATTTGTATTTTTTGTATCATATTATTTGATAGAATAATAAAAAGTCGCAAAAATGAGAGTCAGCAAGATCAGTTATACGAGCGACCGACCAGCTTACTAGATGGACCACAAATACAAAGCACCTCCGATTGCAATCGATTTTATTGTATGTTTGTATACAAGTTTTTTAAGTAAATAATTATTTTCTAATTTTAGTGCATTTTTATTTAATTAAGATATCAATTTATTATTCATAAATATATTTTTATATCATGTTTACTATAATGTGGTTTTTAAATTAAATTTCTTACTACTTATAAAATAGTGATTTCCGTGTTGGTGGCAATACTACTGTTGATATCGTTTTACTTCATACCATTCCCCATCAATTTGATATTATTTATCATTTCTTTGGCCATATTTCTACTCATCTCTTACTTGACATATAGTAAGTCCAAAGGCTTGCCGAAGAGGGAGTGGTCTGAAGCCATATATTCGCCTCAAAGTCAGGCACCCGATGACCAGACACTAGTGGACGTGCCCTTAGAGCCCATCACTATATCGCCCG